CTCTACATATTTGTTCAAAAAATAAAAATAGCAAAAATTATTAAAAAAAGATAATGATGGTGACTTTATTTAATGGGAGAAATCAATTATTACTAAAAGAGAGACTCTAGTTATAACAAATAGATAGGAAAAAAATAAAAATATTTTAAACAAATATAAATAAATAAGTTAAAGGGTAAATAAGTCTTAAAAAAGTCAAAACCAAAACATGGTATAACCTTAAAAATACTCTTGCTCAAGATAGAAGTTTGTATTAAATATATAGGAATTGATAAGATGATTTTTAGGGATTCTTTTAATCTCTTTCCTATTTTGATTTATATTTATCATAATTATTTTTAAATTAAATTTGAATGTTTTTTCATATTGATAATAAAAATAATCTTCATTTTATATATATATATATATGATATTTTAATTTGATTTTTACATTGTTTTGAACTTTTTTATCCTCTTGAAAGATAAAGATTAATTAATTAATATATATATATATATATATATATATATATATTTTGTTAACAAAAAATAACAATAAAAATAATAAAGGAATACATACGTTTGTCCCTATATCCATATAACATTAATTAGTACAATTTTTTTGTCTGTATACACCAGATGACAAACAGATGATCCCAATTCATTCGCATCATATTAAAATATTTGGACATTTTTTATTTTATTATTTTTCCTTTTTATAAGATTTTTGATAGTTTCTCATTAATTATTTTTCTTATAATGTTTTTAATTACTTAACACCTTTTTTAAAAAAAATAAATACTAATAATTATTTAAATATATTTTTCTTCTCTTATTACAAATGAAAATGGAAAGGAGTAGATACGATTAGGGATGACAATGTGGCCCCATGGGGCGGGTAATAGTAAACCCGCCCCCTCCCCGCTGGATGAAAATTGGTCTCATACCCACCCCATATCCGTGCGGGTATTTAAGCGGGTATCCATGAATTTTTTGAATATCCACGGATATCCATGGATATTTACAAATTTTTTAAGAAATTAAAAAAATTATTTACAAATAATTTTAAGTTTATATTTAATGTCATTGAAATATTAAAAATAAAAATTTAATGTTAATTTTGAACTTGTATTTAACGTTAATTTTGTTGAAATAATAATAAAAATGCAAGATAATCAATAACTTAAAATATATCAATCTCTGCTTCAAAAAAAAATAATATATATATATATATATATATATCAATCTCACAAGTAAGTTAAAGTCTCATCACAAAGCTACAATAATTTAATCTCATAAGTCCAAACGAAAGCAAACAACTTAAAATACATAAATCTTATTGGTCCAATCAAAGCTAAAAAAATAATCAAATTACATCCAAAATAATTCTATAACATGCTTAACACATGTCGGTAACTTCATCAACCTCACTTTTGTAAGAAAATAAGATGAGAGAGTGTAGTTTTACGGTTATGTGATACAAGGATAATTAGGATATTTAAGAAATATTATTAAACAGGTACCCGCAGGTATGGATATCATCATACCCGCCTCCGCCTCATTTATAAACGGGTAAAAAATTATCCATAGCAGATTTTACCTGCAGATACCCGCGGGTGCGGGTATTTTTGCCATCCCTAGATACGATTTTCAAACATTAAGTAGCAAAGAGATGATTATCTTCAAAATATTAAGAATAATTTCTAAAAAAATTAAATTATTAACAAATTGAATGTTATTACTAAAATAACTAATTCTCATAAGATAAATATGAATTAGTTTAAAAGATCTTATATAACGAAAATAATCAATAATTTTAATAAATAAAAAAAATCAATAATGAATTTAAAAAAATTCTTTAGTAGAGATAAGAAAATAATCTATAATATTTTTATAGAAAAATATAATAAGTATTTACAAAATATATATGCTTATAAAAAATATCAAATATTAAATCTAATTTACTAAAAAAGTGATCATTTCTTTTTTTCTTCTCTGTCTGAAATTATATTAAAATATGTATTGTGATTTTCTTTTTTAACCCGTAACTATTTAATATTAAAGGGACACTAAAAACTAGAAGGGTAGGAGAAATAAAATTAGTACTCCACAGTCTACACCTTCATTTATTATAATTTGCTTTTTCATCTCTTATAATTTTTTTATATTTATTTAAAATATTGTTTTATAGAAATAATACCTTTATTTTGTAGATATTTTTTATTATTAAATTTTTTTAAATAAATAAATAAAAAGCTTTATGTAGAAAAAAAAAAAAAATAATAGCGTGATGCTATTTGGGCAATCTTGGAATAAAGGCTGATTGAAAAAGTAAAAGTATTGGCATCAATTGTCATAATGAAGAAGATGAATGTTTGTCCAAGTATATGTTTTTTACTCTTTTTATTGTTTCAGCCAATACAACCCCAAATCATGCCCAAAAATCGCTATAATTGCTGCTATTATGCTACCCATCTCACATGCTCTCCATAAAGAACAAACTTAATTCAAAGATGAAACATAAACTTTAATTCCGCATTATTAATGTCTTTAAATCACATGGTAATTAATCTATAAAAACACTAATATATATGTATATATAAATTAAAATTTGAACGAGAACACTTCAGAGTGATTTCAAGAATTTTTCATAACCTTTAATTAATACATATATAAAAAAAATTGAACTAAAGAACCTGGATTTGAGTGACTTATTCATCAAGTTGGATATATTTTTATAAAGATTATTAGCATGATAATGCCCTAAATCATAATCCATACTCCGTGCATGCATGTCACAATACTTTTTTATTCAGTTCATCTTTCTTTTCATTGAGTATATTGTTATTTTCACATAATGACGAATCAATAATAATTAAAAAGACAAGAATTGAATATCGATAATCCAGTTTACATCCGAATCCTTCTTTCGTTATTGCACATAATTAATTAACAGGATGGAAATCTTCTTTCATTATTGTCTGCAATTGATTCCATTTTTTTTTCACTTGCATGTTTTGCATAATCAAGCTACTAAAGCGTATGTGAATGAGTTTGTTGTCACCCAAAAGTTTTGGGTAAAATTAGGTAGATTGGATATATATTAGATTATGTTTCACAAGATTGATGAAAAAGAAAATAGGCTTCACAATTACATGCATGTATGATTAAGTTCCCCTCCAGGTGGATTTGTTTGCTTTGATCTTTGACTTTATTTTATTTCGAGCAAAAATATTTTTTAATTTTTGTTTCTTTTGGTAATTTGAATTTAAATTTAGGATAAAATATATTTTTAATCCCTCTAAAATTTTTCAAATTTGATTTTAGTCCATCTAATTTTGAAATACACTACTTTTGATCCTTAAAGTAATTTAAATATTATTTTATAATTATTTTTAAGTGCTATGTAATGTATTATAAAAGTCAACATATTGATCTGTGATTAAAAGATAATAAAAAAATTAGTGCATCTCTGTTTTTAAGATTCTAATGTATTATTAGTAGGACTAAAAGTGATGAAATTTTAAAATTGAGGAACTAAAATAGGATGAATGATAATTTAGAGTGATTAAAAATAAATTTCAATAATTTTGAAGAGATTAAAAACATATTTTACCTTTAAATTTATTAATATTTAAATATATTTTCAATTCTTGTAAAATAAGTAAGTTTTAATTTTGATCATTGTGAATTCTTTTTTTGTTTTTCATTCTTTTAAAATTTAAAATTCTTATTTTTATTTCTTTAAAATGAACAAATTTTGTTTTTAGTCCTTGTAAAAGAATTTATTTTTTAAAATTTAAAGTTACTAATTTTAGCTCTTAATACTCATTTTATAGTAGATAAATAATATTAATTTTAAAAATTTATAATAGTTGTGTCAGATTTGGTGTCACAAATAATCATAAGTATAAATACAGTAATTATCACTTGAAATGATCACTCAATTTTATAATAGATAAATAAATAAATAAAATATTATATAATAGTAAGGACTAAAAGTAAGGATTTTTAATTTTAAAGGATAAAAAATATTTTTTTTTGCATAAAACAAAATTAAAATTTGTTCATTTTATATAAATTAAAAAAAAACTTATTTGAGAATATTTATTAATAATTGACGGTTTGTGGTTAAGTTATCTTTTTTTAATGCTAGATTAACTGGTTAATGTTGAGTATTTAAATTTAAATTAAATGTGACTTCTTTAATTAATAGGAACTCGACTTCTTTAAGCGAATATTGTAGCTTGAATCACCATTATTAAAATAGTTATATGATGAAGATTCGGACACTTCATTTAAAATTATTGTATTAATAATCATAAAATAATTAAAATGACTTGGTGAAGAATGAGGGCAAGCACTAAGCAGAGTGGCCAAACCCTAATTTACACATTAATGATTAAACGTTAACGTCCACAGTCCCTCTCTAATGAAGGTTTGGGTTCAAATTTCATGGTCACGACAAGACAACTTTTATACGAAAAATGTCGTATAACTAGTTAATATTTATTTATTTATTTTATTGTCACATAACGTACGACAAGTGTCATAAGTTCGTAGACTCGTAGTTTAAAGTTTTTAGCACGCAGTGTATAGTTAATATTACGACGTTAATGGTTTAGGTTAATATTATCCAAAATTAGGGTCAATTTTTAAAACTTTTTAGTTTAAAAGTCAATAAATTAGGTAAAGTGTAGCTTAACTTCTATGAGCATAGCATTCCAGAGAATAGAATAACAACTTGCGAGTTCAACAAAATATTCTCTACAATTTCCAACCTACAATCCTCACTATGATTCTTTTGCAAGATGGATTTGTTGTTCGTAATTCATTTTCGAACAAATTTTATATACACTATTATAGTTAGTTTTGTGTAATTATTCGGTTAAACTTTATATTAGGGGTATTTATGTAACAAATTATGATGGTTTTATCTCCTCTTTTGGTATACAACTTTTGATAACAAAGTTAAAATCCAGAATCTTCCACCATATTAAAACGACATGGACTATAATATCCAAATCAACTTTTACAATACACAAGTTCTAATTTTGGTGAAAGTATATAAGCCATGAATACCCCTAATTAATATTCCATCTCAATAATCAATTTTAATCACCAGAATAAAAATAACAGTCTCTTAAAAAAAATAGTGATTATATATATATTTTTTAAAAACCATGAATACGTTTGATCTAAAGCTTGTGATTTGGTTTCCTTTTTTGCGTAGTACACACGTTAAACAAAGAATCTGAATCGGAGTCTTTTAGTGAGTAAAATCATTTGACGGGTCAAAGGGGGAAAAGGTAATGCATCTCTATAATTTCCTTTTCCAAGTCTAACACAATAAATCAAAGGTAGCCTAATGGTTTCAAACAAAGAAAGATCCTACCACATGTCTAGTAATCAAACCCATCCTTCTTTCACCTTTATTCAACCAAATAATACTAAGAAAATTCAAATTAAATGAGATAGAAACTTACAAATAAGTTATTGGGTCAAATGAAAGTGAATAATATATTGAATGGGAAAAACGTAAGTGAAGGTAACTCGTTAAAAATGGTCAACTTTATTAAAAAGTTAATCATCAACATAAATTGAAGTCCTTATGTATATATTATTTATTTTAATTATTTTGATCGATCAAAATTATTACAGCAACAACATGATTCTAAATTGTGCGTGTTCTATGTTTTCACAGTGGATTTCTAAAGAGAAAAGAAAAGAAAATGTTGATTTTAAATATAAGAATTAAAAAAATAAAATGGTGATAAACCAAAATTTCATTTTATGAGCATTGAGTTATTGACTGTTGACTCTAAAGCCGTCACCTTCTTCCCTCCTATGTTCCTAAATCCAACGTGGAGGCTATTCCTCTTCTTATTCCCTTCGTCTTTCTCACTTCTCTGTGTTCCAATTTCCAAACCCTCTTCACAAGCCAAACCCAACTTCGTTTCTCTTCTCTCTCCTCTCTCAATTTCCCACTCCCATTACAACAACACCCTCCCTGCAAAACCCAGAATTTTCAGACGAATTCCGCCTTCTGGGGTGTGCTAAAATTCGCACCTGAATCCGAAAGCTTCGTTTTTTACTCATGGGTGCTACATCAGGGTCGGGTGCTGCCGCATTGAGTGATTCTGACACATTTGAGATAACTGGGAAGATCATGGTGGTGGCCATAATATTCCTCTTCATGGTGGTTATCTTTGTTCTTGTGCTCCATATCTACGCCAAGTGGTTTTGGTGGAGCATGGAGGAAAACGCCACCCCTCAGCCCCGCCCCCGCCGCCGGCGGCGGCGGCGGTTTGTCTTCGCCCCCGGCCAAGACTCGGTGATCTATGAAACTCACCAAGTTGGGCTTGACCCTTCAGTTCTAAGGTCCTTGCCGGTGTTGGTGTTCCAACCTGAGGACTTCAAAGATGGTTTGGAGTGTGCAGTTTGTCTCTCTGAGATTGTTCAAGGGGAAAAAACTAGACTTTTGCCTAAATGCAATCATGGGTTTCATGTGGATTGCATTGACATGTGGTTCCACTCACACTCCACTTGCCCTCTTTGTAGGAACCCTGTTGCTTTTGAATCCTCCAAAAGTTCTCACATTGAAGACAATCGTGTCTCAGGGAACGGTGACTCATCATCACATGAAGATAATTCAGCTGCTGTGAGTGGTTTAGAGTCTTCAAATTTTCCCACTAATGTGTTGGTTTGGGGGAACCACACACAAGTTAGTTCTTTTGGGGTTTCCTTGGAAGAAGGGACTTCTCACTCTGAGCAACCACCTTGTTCTCCACAATCTACACCATCTTCTTCTAATGGTAGGTGTCATGGAATGTTGGTGATTGATATTCCAAATGAGTGCACTTCCTCCTCTTTGTCCCCTTCTGGGAGTAGGTGTGCTGAAGATGAGGCTAAATCACCGATGGCCGCTACATTGAGGTCATTTAAGAGGCTTTTGAGCAGAGACAAAAAGTTGAGTCCTTGTAGTCCAAGTTCTGTAGATGTGGAACAAGCTCACAGCTAGAAATTTGTTAATGGTGTTCATTGATTATTATTTTTAGGAGAGCTCTTCTTCATGGGAGATAGCTTTCAATGAGTCATTGTTATGCTACTTCCTTTCCAATACTCGTGCACATAATGGTTAAGGATCGTTGCTTTATAATGTCTTGTTATAGAATCATTTTTTCTTTTCCTTTTTTTTAATGTCTGTGCTTGAAGTTTGGAGCACATCAAGCCAATCGTCTAAAGTGTCTATATTGTATAAATGACAAGTTTCTTTGTAGTGAAAGGGTAAAATGATCCAGTTTCTTTTACACAAGATCAATTTTTTTTGTCTTAATTTTGATCTTTACTTGCAATTAGCCTGACCTAATGCTAAGCCATATCTTTAAATATGAAATGGTGAATGAAATAGAATGACAAGGGATCATATAAAATGAAATGACTGAGTTTGACCCGAAGGAGAATTTTTTTTGCTTTGAGTAAACAGAACAATGTGATTATCTATTGAAAATCGTGCTATTGCTATTTGCAGCATAAAATAAACACAGACCCTACTACAGATGGTATTTTTTCTATTTCCGGATGTGAAAGTGATCAATGTTGAGAATGCGATTACTAACAATAGAAGCAGAGGCCTCACTGTTATTGGCTTGATAATAAAATTTGAATAAAGCTTATGTTCTGCTGTTAACACTGGCTAAGATGTTGATTGTGCTCCTAACTATGATCGGGATTTGATAAAATAAACATTATTCTATAGCTTAGGACCAAAAAGGACGAAAGAAGTATGATCAGGATCTGATATAAAAAAATAAGTACCAAAAGGAGGGGGGAAAAGTTGGCAGAAGAAATAAATTTTTTATGATTCAAGATCGCTAAATATTTATTTATACCTAGATTAATCTTCACATGACACACAACAAATTTTTGTTTCCAAAGAAGATGGGGAAGCTCCTTAGCTCCACATTCAAGTATTTCTCATACGAAAATGCTAACAAGGGCACTGTATAAGGGATTAGAAATATAAAGTTTTTTATTGAAAAGTGTAATAACATATCTTTCCATGTAATTTTAGTTTTTGATAAATAAAAAAAATTAGTTATCGATTCCTTAATGGGTTTCTTACGTTAGCAAGACCCTTTCTTATATTAAAGAAATTCCCAATGCGATCCTTGTATGCTAGCTGAAAGGTCATACAGTACGTATTTGATTTTTATTAAAGGAATAATAATAAATCAGAAGTCATTGTTTCACTATCAATATGGCAGATAGGCTAATGTTTAAGGTAGTAGTCCACTCTCCATTGTTAATTAGCCCCTTCCTCAAGTAATTAAAACCCGACAAAGAAGTTTTGTTGACAAATTTTCTGCTCATTTCGGCTGCCTAGGTAGTGGCAGGCACAAGTCCAATTTTTTCTCAATTATGCTTTCTTTTTCACACATCCCATGACTTTTACTTTTTTCCCCAATGCTTTTCTACTTTTCATCTAAACTTACTATTCACCCCTTTAGGGCATTTCTCACTGTCATCCCCATTTTCAGGCATCTGGTCGCGCTTCAAGTATTTTGTAGTGTTTGTTTAGATTAGCGGTGAGTTAAACTCAATATGATTTTTTAAAACAACAAATAATTGTTTTTATGGTGAACTTAACATGATTTTATACTCACTGTGACTTTCTACCACCAAACTAAACATACTAGTACACCATTCACTCACTAGTGTGGGAGATGGACTTCTCTGATCACAATTTAGAATTTGTTTGGATATAAATTTTGAAGAATTTTTGAAACTTTATCTACTAAAAATATAATATTTTTTAATATAAAAAAAACTTTAAAATACACTTCTAACTTGTATTCAATAAAGTTCATAATTTCTCTGTGGCTAGTTCGTGGATTCACACACAACACTAGTTTAGTGGCTTGACTCTTGGGATAAAGAATGACATTTGAAGTCGTGAAGATTGTATGATCTTTACACGTTAATCTTGGAACATATTTATACAATATTTTTTTTTTACTATTCATGCTATTATGTCATTCAATTTATATCATACCTTTCCCTTTCTCTTCTTATTTCACTCTTACTTGTAGAATCGAATTTATCTTTATATATCACATGTAGCAGACAGCCTTCAAAGCATAGCGTTTTCTAGCCTTTTCACTCACCTAAAATACGCTTTTTTTTTCAAAGCCATTGTCTGATTTTGTGCTTTCACTTTGTTACCTAATGACATCTGAACTAGAAAAACCTTAGCAGGTAAGAAATCCCTCTTTCACCCACATGCTAGAATGGAATAGCCTCTTTGAAAAAGAAAAATGTTTAGGAGCAGATAATGGAACATTGACCAGGAATAAAACTATCAGAGTCTAAGTTAATTTAACTAAAATAAAAAGTTTGATGTGGTATTTAAGTCACAATATTTGCTCAGAATCTCACCTAATAGACTAGTCTTTTAGAACAGTCTTTGGAGCAAGAATTCCAAAGTCAAAACATTGACACCAAAATACTCTTTAGAACAAGAGGGTCATGCAAGAATGCTATTGAACAAGTAACAAAGATGAATTATTCTGAATTTTGTTTTCCTCTATCAAATCCAACAAAGAGCAAAGACAATTCATATTCAAAATCAAAAACATAATATTCTGTTTCTCACGAAGAGTTTTTGTTCTGTTACATTGTCATTGGCCAGCAAAATCTCTCAACAACCAACACAACAAATCAGTAACTCTTTCTCAGTGAAGCTTGTGTCACCGTAGCTTGCAACTATGCTAGTACAACACAAGTCAAGTGACCACATAAAGAGGGCCATAGTTCTTTCCAGTAGGAGGGCTATTTTGTTGGTGGAGAGAGATATAAGGTATATCATTTTCCTCTCTCTTTGAGGGTTTGAAAAGACTCACAAGAGGACCAGATGTTGGACGCCAGTGTTTACCATCAGAACTATTGCAGGAGTTATACATTGGACCAGAAGAATGACCATGCCTTTTCACAGAACCCTTTGGCTTAGAATTGTTGGTGGGGTTTTCACTATGCTTGCCGCTTTTCTTGTCAGATTTCCACCATGAAGTCAGAGAACTTTTCCATGACTTCTTCCCCTTTTTCTCTTCCTTTGATCCAGCTTTACCAGATTCTTCAGGGTACACTGATGAACTCTTCAGCTTTGCTTCCTTTCCATGTTGCTTTGCTTCCTCCAAGAACTAGTCAAAACCACAAAAAACCAAACCGATCAAAATATGAATGAAAACCATCAAAATTGGAGAATATTTTGTTGAAATCTTTTCTCACATTGTCACATACTTTGAAAAGAGAACTTTTATTAACAAGTTCATGAAGTACAACTAGAGTGTTGAAGTTAAAGAACCAACTATCAATTACTTAATACCAGGCAAAAGTCTTGTTGCAGATAAAATCCATAGTCATGATAATGGCATGCCTCAAATGTTGGTTGTGATGGAGATTTCATCATTTGATTCATTTTTCACCAAAAAGGCATAAACTTAAGCAGAATGAGGAGGCTCAAAATGAAATGAAGAAGACCCCAAGAGAAACAGAAGAATGTGGTTCAAAAGGATTATCCAAATTGACTAGAGAACACTTCCTAGAGAATAATGTCTCATTGGGAAAAAACCTTCAAGTTGAAAATAATAGCTTCTAACCTTTTCGTCAAAATAGTTCACATGGGAATTTACTATCTTGGATCACAAAAGGAAAAGTTCAACAACTCCTCCTAAAAATATGATAGCCATAGGGCCAGCTTTGGAGATGACAGTAACTGTGGTGGTTGAAATGGCATTGCAGTTTTAGGCTTCTCATTCACCATTTCTCATAGAGGAAGAATTGGTGTAAATTAGAAGGTGCATTAAGATGGGAAGGGGTTGTCATATATAACATAGTACATTAAATCCAGACTTAGCACCAGACAAAACTGCTAGCTAATAATGCCAATGAGAATTTGGTAAAAGGTAAAATTAGAAAACAGACAGCTGAATGAAATCCACTATGATCCTATAAACTAAACTTATCTTCCAAGGTAGAAGTGAAAGTTAACAAACCAATTGAAGAAAATGTTTAGTTTCTGATAGGAACAACACATCCAAATATCCTGACCGAAAAGTGGGTAAATATTGTTAATTATGACAGCCATTTATTTCCTCACCTGGGACCATGCTTAATCACTACATTTCACTTTACCTTTGATTTTTCAAATAAAATAAAATTAAAAATATCTCATTCATTATCCAAATTAATTCTTTCTGATCATCTTGAACTAATGCTAAACAAAAGATAATCATGCATATTCAAGTATAAGTAAATAATTTTTTTAAAAGTTTTTATATGCATTTATAAAGTCTTGAAACTTAGCTTAATCCAGGTAAGCACTTGAAACTTAACTTGCCTAAACTCTTACTAATCTAGATAATGAAGTTTTATTTGACAAAACGTAATAAGGCTTGTATATTTGATGCCTCAAATTTGTATAGATACATGTCAGACACAAGCACATGTAAGTTTATAACATGTAAAATATGTTTATATTCCTAAATATTTTTTAATTAAAAGTTTAAAAATCCATCTATTTTAAAAAAAAAATAACCATATTATCCATACAAAATATTTATTATTTTTATTGATAATTAATTCTAAAAAAATCTGACTGGTTAACTATGTTTAATTAAGGTTTTTCTTCTTAATTATAATTTTTTTCATGCACAAAATCCTAACTCGAAACCTAGTTAAATTTGTAAACACTCTTAATTACACTATAAAAGTTTAGGTGAAAATGTGACATCGAACTCATGTTTTAGGAAATAGATCCCCTGACTTTGGAGGGGAAAAGTTAGGATAACTTTACACATTTAAACCATTAGATTTGTAATAGTAGATCAGATTGTGACACGTGTACATTTAAGTTAAAATATATTTTGTATACGTGTCACAATCTGATCTATTATTACAAATCCAACGATTGAGATGTGTTAAATTACCATAACTTTGATATCTCAAAGTCAGAGGATCGGGATGGTTTTACCACTTCTACTCTTGATTTATTGACGACAATCACCTGCTGCTTTCACTCCCTATTTCACCTAACTTTTGATGCATATTAAAAGTGTTTGTTTTTTTAAATTAAAAAAAGTACATAGGTAAAATTGCACGAATTAGTAATAACAAAAATTCATTTTACTTTTTAAAAAACGTAGAAATTTGGCCAACAAAAGTCGGGTCACGATGAAATTGAATTAAAAAAAATACAGAATTGGAATGTAACGAGTTGATGAGTAAATTAATAAATATTTTCTAAAAATGTTGAATATATTCCTAATTAAAATTTATGTGGGGAATATATCCCTAAACCGTAATAATTAAATAAAATTTGAAAGGAAATTAAGCGAAAAGTAGTTCCCACTGACATCGGGATCAGTGATGCGGATGATCATAAAAGCTGCGTCAATTATGCCGCATGTTTCGGAAGGTGCATGCTTTCTTACCCTATGCCTCGGGCCAAAAACAAATAATTCCTTTGGAAATTTTTAATGATTCTTTTGTTGTTTTTTTTTTTTTGAAGAAACGTGTCAAAATATTTATTACTGTATTTTAGAAAAAAAAATAATAGTGTACTTGTTATTTTTTATTAATAGTGTAAAACTTAATTAATTTATAGTTATATTAAAGTTTTAATAAAGGCATTTTAGTAAAAAACTAAAATAATTAATAACTTCCTAAAGTTCTTATCTTTTCTTAAACAACAAATAAGGTAAGACTAGTGGGATAAAAATGTTTTGTTTGTAATAATAAAATAACTTTTAATTGCAATACATCTTAGGACATGTGATTTCTTGATTGTGTATAAAAAAAGAATTGTAAAAAGAGATAAGATGTGTTTGAATATAGTTAGCGTAATTGATTTTGAATCAATGCAAATTTATAAAGATTTTGAATAAATGTGATTTAAAAGTAACATAACTATTATTTGAATGACATAAAATATGGAGGCAATTCTTGTATTAAATATTATTTAAAAACTTATTATCAAAATTGATTTTGAATATGTAGTTACTAAACTAAGTATTCATATCTATATTATTATTTTCATATAAATATCTTTTGTTTAAAATAATAAAATGAAGTTTAATATGTTTTTAATATAAGTTTGAATACAAATAAATATGTTTGCAATACTAATACAATAAAATAAATATAATTTAATACATGTTTGTTTGATAATAATAAGAAATAGAAATTAGAATGTACAAATAAAAGAGATAGTTATAATGTAACACAACTTTTAACATTAAATTAGAATACTAGTTTTTTTTCCTTGGAATGTACAATATTATCTTGTATAGTGTCTCAAACACAATTCATCTCAGCCGAAGAAATCACATTTAAAATTTGAGATTGGTCTGAACTAACTTCATTATGACAAGATTGGTCATCTAGGTTAAGCGCAATGTCTTCATTTTCAGAACGACTGAATTGAAGATCAATTTCAACATTCCTTGAAATAAAATTGTGAATAGTCATTATTGCATAAGTTATATGAACTTGTGTTTTATATTTAAAGTTAGGTATATGTCACAAAATAACAAACATGTTCTTCTATACACCAAAAGTTCTTTCAATTGTACACCTTAAACTTCAATGGTAGCAGTTGAAGACCTCATTATGATTTTCAAATCCAAATCTACACCTAAATTTAAGGAGACCAAAACATTCACATTTGTAGGGACCATCTGTAGGGACCAAGGTACTCCACTAGTGTTGGGTAGCCAACATCTAATTTATATTGTCTCATCCCAAACTTGTTTCTTTACCAAATAATTTGTATCATGCTCGTCAATCTCTTATAAGGTTATGATACCTATTCTTAAACTTTGACACTAGATAATCTCTTTCAGTTAACTCCTTAAATTTGATTGAAATTCCAAGCTACCCCTTCTTGGTAAAACTAGTACCAAGGTGTCCCCCATTAGTCACTTGCTCTCTAAGCATGCTATGATAAAACTCTCATTTGCTTTATGATCCCAAACTGCCTTTTCTACATCTGTACTCGTGATTCTAAACACAAGCATAATTTCAATCATATTAACTAGCATAAAGTTTGGATAACAAAGAAAATAATGTGTTTTAAGAAGCATAGATTCAAAACAAATATATCTCAATGTGAATGACATTCATTAAATAGAATATAAATTATGCAATAAAAATAACAAAATTTTTAGAGAGATTAAAAGAACAAAGAGGACTTGCAACTTATTTTGAAAATTAGAAAGACCAAAAGCAAGTTTAGTGAGAATAAAAAGAACAAAAGCAGTGAATATATAATAAGCCCCCTTCAACATGATTCATAAAATTTGACAGTGGGAATGAATAAATAAAATCTTAATATCCGTCAACAACCAAACCTCAATATTCAATATTTCTATAGCCAAAAAAGAAACAAGATTCACAGAACTTAGATATAAAGGAATTGCAAGAATGCATAAGAGTGAGATTGATAAAACTTAATCCCAACGACTTTATATATTGATATCTCTTTGTTTTAAGGATTTTATGTATTTCTTAGTGTTTGAACTACTTTTGTTGTACGCAAAGTTTATGACTCAATTTATTGCAACTTTTACATTAACACGTAATAGCAAGAATAAGATAAGTCATAGTTATCTTCCAAGTCGTTGAGGTTTGACAACCCTTACTTTCCTATATTACAAAAACTTAGTGCGCTTGTCTCAAAATCTTAACAAATAACAACACTAAACTTAAACCTAATCCTTATTAAAATACATACTTGTTTAACACACATCAATATCTTCCTCTCCCACCAATCATATGGTGCATGAACCATATTGTCTCATCCCAAGCCTGTTTCTTTACCAAATAATTTATACCATGCTTGTCAATATCTTCTAAGGTTATCATACATATTCTTAAACTTTGACATTGGATAATCTATTCTAGTTAACTCCTTAAATTTGAATGAAATTCCAAGCTACCTTTTTCTTGGTAAAACTAGTACCAAGGTGTTCCCCATTAGCCACTTACTCTAAGCATGCTATGATAAAACTCTCATTTGCTTTAAGATCCCAAACTGCCTTTTTTATATTTGTACTCATGATTCTAAACACGAACATAATTTCAGTCATATTAACTAGCATAAAGTTTGGATAACAAAGAAAACAATGTATTTTAAGAAGCATAGATTCAAAACAAATATATCTCAATGTCAAATGTGAATGACATTCAATAAAATGAATATAATTTATGCAGTAAAAACAAGAACAAAAAAATTAGAGAGATTATAAGAACAAAAAGTACTTGCAACTTACTTTGAAAATTAGAAAGACCAAGAACAAGTTTAGTGAGAATAAAAAGAACAAAAGCAGTGAATATATAATAAGCTCCCTTCAAAATGATTCGTAAAATTTGACAGTGAAAATGAATAAATAAAATCTTAATATCTATCAACAACCAAATCTCAATATTCAATGTTTCTATAGCTAAAGTAAACAAGATTCATAGTTAATGTTGAGAATAACTTTAACTTTTATAAAATTTGCAATATAATAAGGATATGAAGAAACTATATCCATAAGTGGCAACCAAAAAATGAATCGAAACACAAAGACAAGGGTTAGCTCCATAAATATAACCAATCTAAAGCTGTTTTAGCTTCATAAATGCACCTGGATGGTGGTTGCTTCCTAAGCTTTAAAGCTTCATTAATATGTTTGCAATACTAATACAATAAAATAAATATAATTAAATACCTGTATGTTTGATTTTAATAAGAAGTAACAATTAAAATTTACAAATAAAAGAGGTAAATTATAATGTACAACATCCCTGTATGGAATTTCATCAAACACCTTGTGTGCCAACCCAAGTTCTCCCCAGGCTGCATAGGCTTACATGAATTTGATCCTAGATATGGGTTTTTATGAAAGTTGAGATTGAAAACTTTGGATTTTTTTACAAACACACACATGGGTCAACTAAACAAATTAAATCAGTAAATTTAAAGAAGTCAAAGCCATGAAAAAAAAAATAGGGGAGAAAAAATCACAAGACAACTTGGAACAGGCAAAAATCCAAATATCTCCCACCTTGAAGAATAACTGGGACAAACAGTAATGAGGGGTCAAAAAACAAATCCAAGTTAGCAAAACCTCCAAATCAATTTTGTTTGATGGAGAAGCTAGTATGGATTACTTCCTAGAGGATGTGAGTTTTGGTATCTTCAAGATGATTTTGTGAAACAACCAAACAATACAACGACACGATTCAGACCCATCAAAATTGGTTATCGGTGTATCGACGTGAAACCAAATGAACTCGTAATACTTTCAAAGGAGTTAGTCTCTAACTATTAGCTATTTAACTATAGTCTATAGATATCTAATGTAAAAACAAAAACCTAAATTTAGAGTTTGTAGATAATGTTTATTTGGATTATGACAAAAAAGTAAAAGAAAGAAAGTGAGAAGAGAAGATGAGTAAAAATAAAATAAAATAATTGTTTAGTTATTTGGTAAGAAAGAAAAGAAAAAAGAAAGAATGGAAGAAAAGAAATAAATATATTAATAAAATGACAGAAATATTCTTAAATATAAAATTTTATTTGTAAATAGTGTAATTATAAAGTATATGATGGCACTTTTATTTATTTATCGCTATTTGTTATGTTAGTTTTCTCTCCAATTCGGAAGGAATCAAGTTAGTGTGGGATCCACACAATTTTTTTCTTTCCTTCCTCATTTTCTAACTTATCAAATGAAGAAAAATTCTTAATAATCGTGTTTTCTCATCTTTTAGTTCTAAACCAAATAAAGACTAGGTGTTATTTTGAGTCTGTTTAGATAAATATATCTAAAAATATTGCTAAAAGAAAATAAGAAAAAAAATGAAATGTATAAGATAAAGTTAGTTGCTTTCATATTAGTTTTCTTAAAATATTTTTTAATTTATATATAAACTATATATAACTGATAAAAATCATTGTTTTTTCTTAAAAATAGGCTTACTGAGAAATTTATCTAATCGTAAACATATATTTGAAAGATATGATTTTTAGGGATGAATTTCCTCCGAGAGCTTGTTAAGGAGGATGGGGATGGTTTGTCGTTTTAAATACGTGTGCTTTAAGATATTGTGTTATTGTCATCCTTCTACCGAAATTCTACAACTAAATGTGGAGCGCTTCTTAGACAAATCGCGTATCATTTTAGATATTAAAATAAATAAATTCTAACAGGGCCATTTTAAAAAGTCTAGTTGTAAATTCAAAATAAACCACATTTCTATCCTTTCTTAATAAATTCCATGCTAAATATTACTGTACCAAACTAAAAATTAAAATAAATATTTTAATTTATTATAATTTTCATTTTAGAAAATAATATAGGATTGTTTCTTAAATTTGTTCAATACCAGAAATGAGAAATACAAATACCATATTACAAGTTCTACAGAATATAGAATTCTTAATAGAAAGTAGACATATTTAACTTTTACTCTATACATTGCCATTACAGGGATCAAAATTTTACGGCGAAATACGTTTATGTTTTAATGGGATATAACTTATCCACTCTAAATAGCATAATGCACGAAGCAGTATGTGCAGTGTTTAATGGCAACCAGCACTACAAGACAAATCTCAAAACATTTAGAAGAAAATCACAAGTATGAAGCATGTAACTTCTTAGCATTCACCACCACCAAGAAGCTGGCAACATAGACACAAAGGAGTAAAACCAGTCCATACATTTAACGCAGCCTCCATGTCCATCATTTTCCCTATACAAATTCTGTTTAGACATGACAACCTAAGCAGAACATATAACCAGTTCCAGGAGAACGCTTTGTACCTCCTATAAAGATTTATTTGCCTATCATCACAGCTGAAGTAGTGGTAACGCCATTACAACCCCAAAGATGGAGAAGAGTAATAACAACATCCACGCTGGAAATGGTTTTCTGTTTTTTCTCACATCCTTCAACCCATCTACTCTTCTCATGTCTTCTCCTCCTGTGGATTCTAATTTCTTTTCCAAAACTGGCCTTGAGCTCTTGTCGGGAGACGTCTCGGATGAGACCCTCTCTAGAGCAGCCTGTTCAGAAAGCTGTTGCTGGTTGTATTTCTCCACATACTCAGGGAACATCTTCCTGAATGTAGCACTGAATGGAAAATTATCAAAACAACAGGTATTAGTTATGGAACACAAATTACAGAGATCTAGTTCACTTCCATCTTGAATAGTTGCTGCAATATACTTACTTCTTGCAGTTGAACGAAAGGGAAGATTTTGCTAGACGCTGCTTCTCAGCAGTGGTGGTGTTTACACTGCCAGTGGTTGGACTGTTGTCCATCTGTAAAACAGAAAATTTGTCAGATATCAAAAGCTCTCAGGAAAACACTGCATACACGGTCAAGTATATCAACTGCACAGGATAAACACAGAAGTCTACTAATGGGGGACTCTATTAACAATCACTATCCTACACATATCACTTGGGAGTTGGGAGTGTATCAACCACAAGAAGTTGGAAAAGCCTTTTTTGGCTATAATATACAACAACAAAGACAAGTAACATTTGTCACTTGACTTTTATGTCAGTGGTTGGGTGGGACACAGGTTTAACTCCAATCCCACCCAACCAGTCCAAAACCCACACAGAAAACTAGGACAAAAGGCAATAAAAGGCAGTAATATCTTCAAAGCAAATAACAGCCACAGGATATGGAAGAAAATAGAATTTAATTACAATATGAGGACACTACAACATACCATGAATGAAAGAAGCCCTGTTAATATGCTGCATTCATGAATTGAAACATCAGTATACAGCTATAAAGTAATAATCCACATCTACTGTTATTTAAAAAAATCAACTCCTCATGCAAAGGAATATGTAAACACGTTTCAAAAGTCAAAGGATAAATAAAAAAAAATAGAGTAAAGCATATAAAAGAACTTCATAATAACTAGAGCATTCTGACCTTGAAACAGACCACATGGGATTCCAACTTTCTGGATGAACTGCAAAAGCACCAAATCCCACAGAAATATCAAATTGTAATATGGATTACTCGTGAAACTAGTTGATTTGTGCTCCAACAGATAAAAGAACTTACAGTCACTCATAGACAAGCAGATCTTTTTCTGTGTCATGAACCGTCCATTAGGTGTAGTCATGCTACATTGCAGAAGGTGTAAACTTTGTCAAAATCACAATTGAACAGAAATATAAAAATAAAATGAACAAGCATACTGCAGCGAGAAGGATTACCTGATTCCAGGGGGTTTATATGGATATTCAGGAGGAAACTTGATTTTTCCATAGTAATATCCACCTGAAAGGAACCAAAAAAATATAAATACTATATAAATTGAGATAGGATTACTTAAATTAGGACATTTCGAAATAACAAAGCACATGGGGACTGAAAAAATAAAATGTTAATATGCAATAATCACAAATTGCTAAACCTGCAAAAGGTGTTCCTTCACTTCCTTCCAACACATAATCTGAGACATTAATATAGAATAAGATCAGTATCAAGTACCAACCACTCCATAACAAACAAATTAAAATAGAATTGCTGACATCATGCTACAAAATTGCCTTGTGATCTGTTGGGTACAGGTCTACAACATTGATAAACTCATAAGATACATCAAGGTTCAACATAATATTTTTCTTCTTTCTAAACATTAAAGCTCAACATAAATTAGGACAAAAAATGTAAGTGTGAAACAAACTTACGCCACTCAAGAATATCACTTGGTGAAGGACGAGCCACAACATGAGAAACTGGCTCCTGCAAATACAATTAAAAAATTAAGCATTATCCAGTTGACATATTCCTTAAATAGCATCATTTATTTATCAATTAAAACAAAGGAAATATCAACGATTAACACAAGCCCAAATAATCCACCATAGTAAATTATGAATTGTAGACAAATCAGTCATGCAACATTAATCAGAAACCACAGATACGTTATTATATAGAGGTAAAATGCAAAATATAGAGGATCATGCATTCCCCGTCTCTGAAGCTCTAAATCTTTTGATCAGACAGAGCATCTAATTCATAATTTGATATATATGCACGAGTACACAGAAATAAGAGAAGAAGAGATGAACCAATGAGACAACAGAACATGTATAACTATATGGCTGTACCAGCAGAATAAGTAAGCATACATGCTATGATCAAAAATAAATAGTGAAGCACAATTTTAGATAAACAAAGGAAGCTGTACATACTTTACAAAGGGCTCTATATTCCTTCTGAAGGCGCTTGATGCATGATTTCTCCGCCATCCAACAAATTTAGCACAGTATCAAGAACAAGGCCCTATGCTACACTCTTATTTTATTCTCAAATGCAATTTTTGTTTCCTGCTAAGAATTGATCAAGAACATAAATATTCAATAAATTGAATACACAATAAAGAAAGTCAAACTAAGCATCCTCTATAAAATAAAATAACAGAGGGGGGGAGGGGACAGCTCCATATCAACCAAATAAAAAGAAGTAGATTCTATGTAAAATGATGGAGATAGACATTCACGGCATACATAAGTGCACAAACATTGTAAACTATCATCAACACATCATTCTATTTTAGGATTAAAGCATTATCTGGTGCAGAGAGAGGAATTGGCACAAAAGAGTTCACAAATGTCATGGCATGAGAATAGTGGCCAAGCCAGTCATTTAACTCCCCTTTATAACCGAATTAAATATATAATAATTGGCTGGCTCATTTGTAAACTAATTCACCATATTTGACTAAATTTTTCTTTTAGGGTCCAATATATGGCAGCATGGTTGAGTTGGAATCAATGGGTCAAATCAGACAAAAACAGCACCAACCCAGTTAGAGATACACATAACAGCATGAGTGTTTTGTATGACATTAAAGCTGGTGAAACTCAAGGATTTGTCATGAAAACTAATACTCCAAAATGTGAAAGAACCCCCAAACAGGAACTACCGAACCACAAACCCCATGAAAGAGCCAGAACAAAAACATCAACGACCTTAAAAGGTTTGAATTATCACAATTCAGAAGCCTACTACATCAACAGAGGCGTATAATAAAATCCATCAAACTCACAGCAATGCGTACTACTCTACAATTAGTTCTTGAATTTTGAGGAATGCTTTTACAATTACAATAGCACCAATTCCAAAGAATCTGTTCTCAGAAGTAGAATACTGCTGTATATTCCACGAAACCACTAGGATTATATACACCATCAATAACCGACAACCAGCAAAACGAAATTCCTTGATTTCTCAAATTATACATATCCATGAACAAATTCTTATTGTACAAACCCCGGTCATTCTAAACAAACCATTTCTGCTCCCAATCACTGTCACCACAAGTCCAACCCTAAATTACACCCCGTTTCTCTTACTCTAATTTTCCCTTTCAATACTGTGCCCCTTCTTCGATAACGCCCTGTCACTGAAGTAATTCTACCCACAGACCCTGATCCACAACCCTAAACCGATTATTCGGGTGACGTACTTCCCATAGTTCCCACCACGAATTCTAAAATCAAGAATTACCCATAAAAAAGCATAATCAAATTATAAAGATCAAGCCTCGAAAAGACCCCACCATCAAAAAAAAAAAACAAATTGAAATCCGCAACAAAGTGAATCGGCAAATTAGGCAGGAAAAAGCGAATTAGATTGATTGGTTTGAGTCGGGAGGGAGAGAAAGAGGCGAGAATTGACCTGAGATCCAAGTTGTGGTTGTCCGAATTGGGTGCGAAATCGGCGTTAATTAATTTGGGCGGTTTGGGAGAAGAAGCGAAGGGAAGAGTTTGGAAACGACGGCGTTGAGAGGAGAGTTGTTATATTATTATTATTGAGGCATGCGTTGGTTCTTAGTTCTTGGATGTGCTGGATCGAGTGTTATACAGCACCCTCGCAACCACTTTCTCCATCACATTTTCAGACTCAACCTTCCTTCGCATGGACTATTTTACCCCCCTTTCACGCCACCCTATTCCTGTAATTCTAAATTTTTTTATGTCCATTCAGCTAACATTTTGCTTAGGCTAGGAATTAGGATACTTTTTTAAATAAAAAAAATTAAATCAAATCATTTCCTTATTTTTAATATATAAAAAAATAAGTGTCATGAATTAAAGAAAAATGTATCACACACAATTAATGATTTAAAAATTAAAATATTTAATCATTAAAATTATATTATTTAAAATTGTTATCGTATAACGGAAAGTCAATAAAAATTAGTTATTATTAATATAACGGAAAGTCAATAAAAATTAGTTATTATCTTGATCTAGCACATTAAAAAGTGTATTGTCTATTATCCCTTGTCTTTGAGGTGGGGTTTTATACTCATTTATTCCACTTTCATGACCCCAAGATTTCTTGGAGTTTGTGATAATTTGTCTAATAATAAGTGACATATTTTGATATTGAATCATGATCATTAATAATTGAATTTTACGCTAAATATGGGCCTCATTGCTAGCTAGCATGGATATGATTAGAGGGGTACTGAGTCAAATTCTTTTGATAAGGATCCTCTTCATCACACTCTCTCGACAAATGGGAGGATACATTATGCATCTAACTTGCTTGATCAGAAGTAGAGTAGTACACTACATAACCCTTCAAGTTCAAGCATTGAGGGTGTGAAGAGCCTACGCACTCAACCTACGCAATTGGAAGCAGAGTACTAAGGTGTGAAAAACCTATGCACTCAACCTACTCAATCGTAAGTTGAGTTGTATGGTATACAACCCTTTAAACTTTAGCATAAAGTGTGAATGACCTATGCATCAAGTACTAAAGTGTGAATAACTGATGCACTTGACCTACTTAGTCAAAAGTTAGAGTCATACAATACAAGGTTCTCCAAGTTGGAGCACTAAAGTTTAGAGAGCCTATGCATTTAACCTGCTTAGTCGAAAATAGAGTCAATGTATGAATGTCAATAGGATAAGGTAAGTAGGAATATTAGCCTTGTCTTGTCAGAAAAATATCCATTTTGTATTCATCCACATATATGTACAAGTACCCGTTAAGTAGATATCCATGAATATTTGTGTATATTTATTTAAAAAATATATATTTTTTAAAATGAATAATAGTTTATATTTATCCTAATAATTTCTTTAAAAATAAGTTTAAAAGTCAAAACTTAAATTATTCAAACATTAAACATTATTTTATGTAATTATGTAATTAAATATTAGTCGGTATTCATGAATATGGATACTACACTACAAGAAAAATGACCCACGCATAAAAACATACAACAGACACCAAACGTGTCTCAAAACGCGCAAGACAAAGCAAAATACGTATATACAAAGCTATATTTACCGAGTTCAATACATGAATTCAAGGAAAAGAAAAGTAAAGAGACAAAAACAAACCCAGGCTACTACAGATATAGCTTACACAGAGGCATCCTCGCTGGAACTATCCTCAACGTCATCCTCCTTTACCAGCCTCCCAAAGCGAACGACCTTCTCCACATGCATGCCGGAGAAGTCAAACCCCGGCGCCTTGTATTTTTGTTAAGTAATACATTGCAAAGGTTCGAACTCGACCTTAATCATGCCGAGGTTCGAACTCGACCTCATATTAGCGTATTAGGGTTCGTACTCGACCTTAAATCAGAGTAAAATGGATCATGCTAAGGTTCGGACTCGACCTCGGATGAGCGTATCTTAAGGTTCGTTCTCAACCTCGAGTTTGTGTGAAGTGAGTTGTATCAGGTTCGAACTCGACCTCAAATTTCCATTGAATAATTTTTGTGAAGGTTTGAATTTGACCTTAATCATACCGAGATTCGAACTCGACCTCAGATTTAGCATAAAACATAAAATAATGTGAAAATAACATGAGTTGAATAGAATGAGTTTGTTTTATTGATAATGTCATTGTGCCTCGTTAAAAACCCTCTCAGCCAAAACCCATTTTTCTGTTTTTTGGGACAAAAAACTGAGGTGGGAAAAGAGTGCACAGCTCATTCATACAAAATTCAGCTGAAATAGAACTTGAGATGCGTAGCATTCTAAGTCCGCGGTATGGGCTTTCTGCTGAGTTCTTCCAGCCTATACGCTCCATTTTCCAAGTCTTCTGTAACTCGGAATGGGCCACCCCAAGTAGGTGCAAGCTTCCCATCTGACGTGTCCTTCCGGGCTTCGCCTAGCAATCGCCACACCTCAGGTATGGACTTTACATGTTGACGGATCCTCCAACTCTAAGGGTGGTGGTGCAGGCATCATATTGGAAGGACCAAACCAAGTCACTTTGGAGCAATCCCTCAAGTTTAGCTTCAAAGTGACCAACAACCAGGCGGAGTACGAGGAACTTCTTGCGGGACTAAGGCTAGCCCGCGACCTCAGAGCTTGAAAAGTGAGTTGCAACAGCGACTCAAAACTCATGGTGGAGCAGCTCAGCGGGACGTACCAGGCAAAGGACACTCTACTGCAGCGGTACTTTCACACTGCATCCCACCAAATCTCGTCCTTCGACGAATTCACCATAAAGCATGTGCCGCGAGAACAAAACGCCCGAGCTGACCTCCTATTAAAGCTTGCTAGCACCAAAAGGCCTGGACAACACCGAACCATCATCTAGGAAACCCTGCACTCACCCAGCTTAGACGACAAAGTCGTCAACGTCAGTGACAATGAAGACCTGGGATGGATGACAGCCATCTGGCTACTTAAAAGAAGGAACCCTGCCCGAGGATAAGGACGAAGCTCGGAAGATAAGAATGAGATCGTCTAAGTTCATCATCATCGGAGATGAGTTATTTAAACGTGGCGTTTCCTCTCCACTACTCAAATGCTTGACTGCGTCTCAGGCAGCCTATGTCATCAGGGAAATTCACCAGGGGATATGCGGCATGCATTCCGGGGTGCGCTCAATGGCGACCAGGGTACTCCGAGTTGGGTACTACTGGCCCACTCTGAAGTTGGACTGCCAAAGCTACATTCAAAAATGTAAAGAGTGTCAACAGTTCGGCGACACACACTGGCAACCACCCGAAGCTCTCCACCACATGATGTCGGCGTGGCCCTTCTCCCAGTGGGGAATGGACATTCTCGGACCATTCCCCCCCGCGAAAGGTCAACTGAAATTCCTTCTGGTGGCAATCGATTATTTCACCAAGTGGATTGAAGCATGCCCACTCGCCAAAATTACCACTAAGAACGTGCAAAAATTCACATGGAAGAATATCATTTGCAGGTTCGGAATCCCTCACACCCTCGTTACTGACAAGGGCCGACAATTCATCGCACAGGGATTCGAGGACTTCCTCCGAGAGCTCGGTATCAAGCATCTCCCGACCTCGGTGAAACACCCCCAAACCAATGGGCAAGCCGAAGCAGCCAACAAAGTCATCTTCCGGGAACTCAAGAAACGGCTGGGAAACGTCAAAGGATAATGGCCCGACGAACTTCCCAGCATCCTCTGGGCGTATCATTGCACCCCCAATCAACCACGCAAGAAACACCCTACAGGCTAACTTATGGAGTCGATGCAATGATCCCAGTAGAAGTCAGAGTGACGTCCCACCGACGGCAGGTTTTCGATAGCGAGCAGAACGCTCAAGAGTTGGCAGCTGACCTCGACTTCGTGGACGAGCTTAGAGACAAAGCTCAAATCCACGAAGAAGCATGCAAGCTCCGAGCTTCCCGAAGATACAACACCCGGGTACGACCTCATTCTTTCCGAATTGGTGACCTGGTGTGGCGATTGCTAGGCGAAGCCCGGAAGGACACGTCAGATGGGAAGCTTGCACCTACTTGGGGTGGCCCATTCCGAGTTACAGAAGACTTGGAAAATGGAGCGTATAGGCTGGAAGAACTCAGCAGAAAGCCCATACCGCGGACTTAGAATGCTACGCATCTCAAGTTCTATTTCAGCTGAATTTTGTATGAATGAGCTGTGCACTCTTTTCCCACCTCAGTTTTTTGTCCCAAAAAACAGAAAAATGGGTTTTGGCTGAGAGGGTTTTTAACGAGGCACAATGACATTATCAATAAAACAAACTCATTCTATTCAACTCATGTTATTTTCACATTATTTTATGTTTTATGCTAAATCTGAGGTCGAGTTCGAATCTCGGTATGATTAAGGTCAAATTCAAACCTTCACAAAAATTATTCAATGGAAATTTGAGGTCGAGTTCGAACCTGATACAACTCACTTCACACAAACTCGAGGTTGAGAACGAACCTTAAGATACGCTCATCCGAGGTCGAGTCCGAACCTTAGCATGATCCATTTTACTCTGATTTAAGGTCGAGTACGAACCCTAATACGCTAATATGAGGTCGAGTTCGAACCTCGGCATGATTAAGGTCGAGTTCGAACCTTTGCAATGTATTACTTAACAAAAATACAAGGTCGAATCCGAACCTTCGTACAACTCACCCCACTTCAATTCGAGGTCGAGTCCGAACCTTAGGTCGAATTCGAACCTTCATGAAAAGATTCACTTAACGAAAAACCAAGGTCGAGGTCTCACCTCGGCATGACCAACTCGGGGCAAAGTATCACCACGCATAAAAACATACAACAGACACCAAACGTGTCTCAAAACGCGCAAGACAAAGCAAAATACGTATATACAAAGCTATATTTACCGAGTTCAATACATGAATTCAAGGAAAAGAAAAGTAAAGAGACAAAAACAAACCCAGGCTACTACAGATATAGCTTACACAGAGGCATCCTCGCTGGAAGTCATATAACCGTCGCAAAATCGTCATTTTCTTGTAGTGCTATGATATTCATATCCATCCCATTTACATATGAATACTCATTTATAATATTTATTTTTTATTTATAGTAAATTTTATCTATTTATGATACAAATTTTGTTAACATCCCTAATCATACAGTAAAAAATATAAATTAAAACGTTAAAATTGAATTCATATATCTAATAGACGTGTACAAATTCAGCGTTAATATACATAAATATATATCCGTATATAAAAATGGTAAAATGTTATAAAAAA